ATGATGAAAATGAGGTTTTATTGAAGAATTTGAAGAATCAGAAGAAGAACGATAAGTTTCTGAAGTAAAAGCAGCAAATTGTTCAAGAGGTTGATTATGATTCCAAGAAGACTTTCGGGAATCCAGATTCCCATTTTCACAATTTGTAATATGAGGTAAGTCGGAGTTACCATTAATATCAGATCTCAGATTAGGAGATGAAGCGAAAGTTTTAATTGAAGGTAGTACAGGTCTAACAATTGGAACATCCTGATTACCGTGAGGACGTTTATTCCAAACTTGATCTAATAATCTCTCAGAAGAAGAGAAACCAACATCATTATTATGATTATTATGATTATTATGATATTTAAGATCACATCTCATATTATCATGAGGTAAATTAGAATTAACGATTGAAGGTTTTTCATCTTTTTCTACGACAGGAGGAGAGAGAGGAGGAGAGGTATCAGGAGTTGATACAACGCGAATATTGTGACAAGAACGTGGAGAATCCAAGGATTCAGTATCACCAAGTTGACTTGTTGTTGACAAGTCATCCATGCTACTATCCCCATCGATAGAAGAATCGTAAGCCGGAGATGGAGAAGAAGGTAAATCGCATAATAAACTAGAGATATCTAATACGGAGGATTTTCTTCGTGGTAACGAAGGTAATGAAGAATTAAGAGAGGGTCGTGTGGTGTTACTGCTATAGTTGATTCCGTCGATCACCTCATTAGACTCTTCTTTATTCGTTAACATTATCTTATTACCATTATATTCCGATTTGGCATTATGCCGCCGCAGAGAATCGTGTGTCATAACAAAAGGACGCACCGATACATTCTTGGAGTTAATCATATCTTCCATGGATATCGAAGGGTTAATGTCATCAATGATGCTAGTTTCACTATGAAGGTGTACGGGCATCTTCGTCGACTTATTCGATGCTAGTACCATGGAACGATTTGTTTTAAAAAAAAAAAGAGGATGATATAATTATATATATTATATAAAAATATATTTATATATTTTATATATATAAAGAATATCCAACAAATTGGGAGTTGGCGATTTCACGAGAATGAAAGAACCGACGAATGATAAAAAAAAAAAAATTATATTCTTTTACGGAAATAAAAATTTTTTTTTTTGTAATTTTTTTTTTTTTTCGAGCGAAAACGTAAAAAAAAAAAAGAATGGACGGTGTTTCGCGATAATATTTTTTTTTTTTTTTTTTTTTTTTTGTAATTATATAAAAAAAAAAAAATGAAATGAAGTAACCCAAGAGTTGGACGTTTTAGACCAAAAATATTTTTTTGGAGTTATAAGGATGGAGAGATTTGAAAAGGAGCACTAGCGTATTTATATAGAACCATGAACGGGAGAGATCTATTCTATCGGCGAATAACAAATGATAGTAGTAATTTTATAATTTAATTGACAATCTAATAAAATTGTGTGTAACCAAGTACCTTTAAGTGTAATTGTATATAAATAAAAATACAGTATAAAATGTGTAGAGTGTGATATAAAAAAAAATATATATATACATTAGTTAATTTATATTGTAACACGTGCTTCATATAAAATACACTCATGCAGCAAATTTCGACATTAATTTTTTTTTAGGGGACGAAAAAAGTGACATCAAAAAAAGGGGTGCTTGATAATTGCAGGGGTGCATTCATCATCACCATAGGGATCAGGAAATATAATAGGACAGACTGTGCCGAATATTCAACGGAAATATATTTTGCAGAAATGTAACGTGAACGGTTGAAAAGGCGGAATAATTACAGAAATTTGTAAAAAAAAGGGGTCGGAAAGAGAGGAGGAAAAAATAAAGAAAAAAATTGGGAAAAAGTCGGGAAAGCGGGGGATCAGAAGAAAAAACTTTTCTTAAATACCTTAGATACCTTAGATACCTCTGATAACTCTAATACTTAATACTTTAGACGGAATATCAAGACTTTGAAAAAGGAGGAGAGGTTTTTTTTTTTTAAATGATTAAAGAATTAATATTATAAAATTTATAAAATATTATGAATTAAATACCACGAATTAAATATAGTGAATTAAAATACCATGAATTAATACGTATCAAATGTATGTACAGAGAATAACAATTTTAGAAAAAATTTCAAAGTAATAAACAGGAGGTATTAATAGGAGCAGGCAAGTAATGCGATAAATCAAGTAGTAAATCAGAACATATAAAGTAAATGATGCAGAAGTGATGCATAAGGACTAAAAGAAATAACAGATATGTAATAAAAACAACTTAAATGAGAATTATTAGAAAACGAGAAATAAACATTGATGAAATTAAATCTAATACACCGCATAATATTACAATGAATGAATGATGGTGATGAATGATGATTTAAAATGATGCATTGAAATAAAACCTAATTAAATCGCGTGAATTATCGGAATTATCGTGCGAAATCGATAGTTCGTGATCATTAATAGTATCACTAGTATTAACAGTTTAACAGTATACAGTTTAACATTTTAACAGTTTAACAGTTAAAGACTATATTAACATATGAACGAGGGAACAAGTGAACAAGTGAACAAGGGAACAAGTGAACAAGGGAACAAGTGAACAAGGGAACAAGTTAACAAGGGAACAAGTTAACAAGGTACGAGGAAATCAGTAATGTATTGTAATTAATTCGCAATGGGTGTGAATATTTTATTTGCCACAAATGTTTATTATTTTCGAGGCAGGAAAGATCTTCAAAAAAGAGACTTTATCAATTTGATCAAAAAAAAGGTCGAGGAGACCGGGAAAATTCAATTTCATTAATTTTATTAAAAATTAACGCCACAAACATTATAAGGGAGTGGTCTTACGCTTATAATATTCTCAATGATTCAATATAACAAACACTCAATAATGTCAAATAATTCAAGTGATTTCAAATGATTTCAGATGATTTCAATAAATCAAGTATTTTAAAGATTTCAAACTTACTTTAAAGATTTCAAAAATATTTTAAACTTCATTTCAAATATTTTATATATATATATATAAAATATTATATAAGATAGTTTTATATAATATTTCAGATACTTTATATTTCAATATAATCAATACAAAATAATATAATCAGTAATATAATCAATACAATAATATAATCAATAATATAATCAATACAATAATATAATCAATACAGTGATATAATAATACTCAATAGTATAATCAATAGTACCAATAATACAGTAATCACATAGTATCTTAAGGTAGCATTATTTTTGATAATTGCATAAAATTAAAATGATTATAAAATGATCTAACACCTGTTGCGAGGAGGAATTAAATGGTTAATACAGGATTTTAAACTCTTAAGCCGAATATAAATAAAATTAATAATCATAAAAAAAGTGGTGAAACACCAACGTCCGATTATATTTTTTGACATGTAAATAAAAACCGGATCTATAATTTAAGTTATTTAACGATGATAACATTAGTTTACCGCTGTGTCACCCTGTTTCATTAATCCTCCCACGAATTCCGATTACTCAGAGGGTATTAATATTTGCCCGCCCATATAAAGTTTTACCAAATCAGCCAAAAAAGATTTACGTTTTGTTGTTTATATCCAGAAACGTGCCCTTTTGCTCAACAAACTTTGTTCGAGATTTTATAAGTTTTTATTATTAAAAAAAAACTTGAATGAATCAAAAAATCATATTCTTTCATTATATAATCTATGAAATCTTTCTTTCTTTTATCTATTTATCTATCTATCCATCTATCGATCTATCTATCTATATTACTGATTAAAGGATGCTTCTTAACATCTCTTCTTATCGCCTAAATATCATCACATTAATTAATAATTGATACATTATATAGATATATATAGTTAAAAATTCGATATTTATATATCTTTTAACTAATCAATCGTTAATGATCATACTAATTGATCGGAGTCGATAAAAAAACTGAAACATACATCATTACTATTAATCAAAGGTAGGTTTAAAATGAGAGTTAAAAATGTTTAATAATGTTTAAAAATTTTTAAAAATTTTAAATTGCTTAAAATAGTTATTAAGAGTTATTAGATTTAATCCTCCTCTTTAAACCCCTTTCATCAGAGATCCCTTTAATTATTAACTATTAACGGTCGGATGATTACCCGTGACATGATCGCGAAAATTTCGAATGAATGAATATCGATATATTATCATTCATTCACATTAGTTTAATACTTGATTAATTGATCTTTATCACATTAGTACTTACTTCATTTACTGTTCTATGAAACCTGTTTTGCCATGCTATATAATTCAATCAGTTATATTTCCCATGTATAATGTTTTTGGCAGTTGATTTGTGTCGGGCTAATTTTTATTATGAATTTATGCTAATTTTGTTATGAATTTATAATTTCACTTAATTAAATAATCTTTGGAATCCTTTTGAGAATCCTTTTGGGAATACTTTGGGAAATACTTTGGGAATACTTGAATACTTTGGGAATACTTTGGATACTTTAGGATACTTTGAATACTTTGGGATAGTGGTGGGAAAGACTTTACGAACGATTGTATATATTAATAGTATTTATCGATAGTATGTATCAATAGTATGTATTGTATGTATAGATATGATGTATAGATATGATGTATTGATACGATGTATTTGATACGATGTATTTGATACGATATGTATTGATACGATGTATTGATACGATATGTATTGATACGATGTATTGATACGTAGTATAGTGCATATAGTACTATAGTACATAGTAAGTATAATGCATATAATGCATATAGTGTACTATGCCAAGCGTGGGTTATAGTAGTATAACACGTATACGTACGTAATATGATTACCTCACATAACGTAACTCTTCCCAAGAACATTCTTGAGTTAGGCTCTACATCATAGTAATGACTAATATATATTAAATAATGGATGTGTGATACGTAGTGTGTATAGTATGTGATAATATATACTTAATGGCAATTAATAGTAATTATTATAATGGTAATTAATGGTAATTAATTGTAATTAATGGTAATTAACGTTAATAGCAATGAATGAACTATCCTTTTATCACAATTTCTCTTCACGTTACACTTACTCACTTTCTT